CTAAGCTAAGTTAGTGCGAGCTAGCTCAGTTTTTTTAGCCTCCGGCTCACAGATTTTTGCCTTCGCTCAGGAAGGATGGCTCCAGAGCAAACTAATTTATGCAGTAGCCAAATGGCTCGCTCTCAACTTTAATGCCAGTAGCTCACAAAGTAGCATTTTTGCTCACATGACTACACAGCTTAGAGGGAGCATTGGTCAAGACTCGGAGGATTCTGAGCCATTCACAGGCCGCAAGCAGTATTTTCCTCCAGAGACTCTCAAAGTCCTCCCTCCAACACAACACCCCTATGAGGTAGGTTAGTCTGTGTGTGCCTGCCCGGTTCAAAGTCAAACTTCCATGCAAGAATGGGGATTCGAGGAGGCCTCAGCTATGTGGTAGAGCTACTGTCTCGCATGCAGAAAGTCCCAAGTTCAATCACCAGTCTTTGAAGGCGAGGGGCTGTGGCTCAGTGGTAGAGCACCTGCTTGGCATGCAGAAGGTCCCAGGTTCAATCCCCAGCAGCATCTCCAGCTTAAAAAGGACCAGACAGGAGGTGATGGGAAAGACCTCCACCTGAGACCCTGGAGAGCTATAAAGGGGGGCTGTGGCTCAGTGGAAGAGCATTTGCTTGACATGCAGAAGGTCCCAGGTTCAATCTCTGGCATCTCCAGTTAAGAGGACCAGGCAGTAGGTGATGGGAAAGACCTCTGCCTGAGACCCTGGAGAGCTGTCAAGAGGGGCTGTGGCTCAGTGGCAGAGCATCTGCTTGGCATGCAGAAGGTCCCAGGTTCAATCCCTGGCATCTCCAGCTAAAAGGACCAGGCAGAAGGTGATGGGAAAGACCTCCGCCTGAGACCCTGGAGAGCAGCTGCCAGTCTGAGTAGACAATACTGAGACCAATGTTCTGATTCAGTAGAACGCAGCTTTCTGAGGGTCAGCTGCTATGCTGCAACATGCAGGGATGGCCTAGCTTTTAATTCAGAAGGGGGTTGGAACCGGCCTTCCCACCAAGAGAAACTGCGATGTGGGAAGCCTACAGTTCCAGTCTCAGTTTCAAAGGGACTGTGATCTCTCAAGCCCAACAGTGCTTTGAACCCCTGGGCTGTAGCACTCGCATAATATACGCATTAGAACAAAGTTTGAGTCCAGTCCCTAACCCTTTAAGGACCAACCTTTAAGACCAACAAAATTTAATGCCCACTGAAGCGAATACCCAGAATTAAACTCTGTTGGCCTTAAAAGCGCCCCTGGACACAAACTTTGTTCCGTTGCTTCAGACCAACATGGCTACGCAGCTGAATCTCTAATATCTGCATTGTAAGAGGAACAGCCGCTGACTCTGTGGCTGTAAACCTGCCATAGCTAAAACGGTTCTGCGTAGGCTCATCAATAGCATCCTGCAGAAAGCCAGATGTCGGGATCAAGTAGCATCACCTCCAGAGCTGGGTGAACATCTTGGGTAGGCACCGTTCAATATGAAGGACTTGATTTTGTGACTCTCGAGTCTGATCAGCCAGTTTGGTGCAGTGGTTAAGTGCACGGACTCTAATCTGGGAGAACCGGGTTTGATTCCCCCCTCCTCCACTTGCAGCTGCTGGATGACCTTGGGCAAGCCATGGTTCTGGTCAGAGCTGTTCCCTCAAGGACAGTACTGGAATACGCTCTCTCGGTCCCACCTACCTCCCAGGGTGTCTGTTGTGAGGACGGGAAGGGAAAGGAGATTGTGAGCCACTCTGAGACTCTGAGTGAAGGGTGGGGTATAAATCCAATCTCTTCTTCTTCTTATCTTATTGGTAAACACCGTGTTAAGGTAATGGTACCCTCCACCAGAGAATGACCAACCTGGTAAGTTTTCCATTCAAGCCATTTAAGTGTAAAGGTCAAATCTCGAGGCTGCTAAGTATTCTGACAATACAGATATGGCACCCTCAGCTCTTTGGAAGAATGTATCTTACAGAAGAACTGGTTGGCTTTTGTATGAGATAGGATGTTGGATTAGATGGACCTGCACTGGTCTGATCCAGCAGGGCTCTTCTGAAGTTCTTATGGGGGGAAGACCTTTGCTTCTATGCCCTGTTGTTTATTTATTTATTATTTATTATATTTATTTATTTATTTCTTCAACTTAATATACCGCCCTAACCCCCGTAGAGGTCTCTGGGCGGTTTACATTTTTGGGTGCTAATCACATATTAAGTCCTAACTAGGGCCACATCAATTCCATGGAAGGGGCTGCCTACCGGCACCCGGGTGGAGGCTGATGTCTTTCTTCGGCTCGGCTCCTTTTTTTCCCGGGTGCGAGATGTTTCTGGCGCTTAGGCAGACAGGCGGATGGTCCACAGGCGACGTCCCCCTCCGGCTCTGCTGGTGCCGCTTGCTGTCTTCAGCGCCATGCTGCCTCCGCCTCCGATCCTCTGCTGCCGCCACTGTTCTACTGCATTGTTGGCCCTCCAGAGGAACTGCTTGGCCACTGTGTGAGGTAAGATGCTGGACTAGATGGACCCTCACTGGTCTGATCCAGCAGGGCTCTTCTGATGTTCTTATCAAGGGAAGGTCTCAGCCTACATGCCCTGTTGTTGAACCTCCAGAGGAACTGGTTGGCCACTGTGTGTGACAGAATGCTGGACAAGGTGGACCACTGGTCTGATCCAGCAGGGCTCTTCTGATGTTCTTATAGTCAAAGTGCAAAGTGGGTAGAATACACAGATGTGTGGCAAACTCGGACTCTTGTTTGCCCTGCTTTGGGGACTTGGGGCCTGCAGAGGGAGGGGTGTGAGTGAGTGTGTGAACAGCCCTGTTGTAGTGGCAATGTAACTCTCCTTAAGATACCTCCCTATGCAGGGCTGACCTTGGAGACGACTGTGCTTGCTTTCCTATCTTAGATAAAATAATGGTATATTCACTGGCGGGGGGTGTAGAGTGCATGAAAGCTAGGCGGGACGATTATGGGGTATGATTGGGTGGGACCCAAAGGGGGGCCTGGTTTGAACTGTCTATAATTGGGGATTTCCCCGCCTGAACCTCAGTTCTGACACAATACTGGTCTCAGCCTGGAACATCTTTATTCATCAATAAACAAATCACTGCCAGAGAGTGTGGTTCAGAGTAAATTTGTCGAGGAGCCTGGCAATGTGTAAAACAGCCTTGGAAATGTTTCATTAGAAAAAGACAAACTTTAATAAATAAGATTCTGCAAAATGTACAAATTTTACACTTTTTATACTTCCTGGCCATTGCCACCATGGTAGTTCTGCCTTCACGTATCATACCATGGGGGGGGGGGGGGAAATCCACACCGTTCCAAAGTGGGATAACTCATTTCAGCAAACTTCAATCTCTGGTAGGGCACACACCAAACATCTCAGATGATCCGGGGGAGGGGGTGGTAAGGAAGAAAAGCACCCCCTAGATCATTCCCAGCAGAACACCAAAAAACACCTCTCATGTTTTTAACAAATGAGAAATCACCCCTCCGCCTTCTGGCTCTCTAGCAATGCTCAGATTAGAGAATGGGGCCATCTTCCATTTGGTGAACTAGTTATCTTTGGTCTTGAGGTCCCCAGTCATTGTAGGTCCCCACTCAAGGGAGTTGGGAAGGGTGGAGTAGACACAAATTGAATACTGGACTCCCCCCCTGTGCCACAGGGTGCTTTCAATAGGATCAGAAAAGTGGTCTTAGATCCAATGGGGGGGAAAGAAAGGATCACATCGTATAGCTTCTAGCACAGGAAATCTGTACATCTACCATCACCCCCTTAAGCAGACAGAGACCAACAAGATGTTCAGGGTATGCACTTCCAAGCGTCGACTCTCAAAATCTTCTTCCCAGAACGTCTTGTTGGTCGCTTTAAGTGCTGCAGGACTCGGATCTAGCCACCCTAAGCAGTTACACTACTCGTCACACATCCGCTTCAACGGACTGAGATGGGTGTGCCCCTGCGTAGGACAACCCCACCAGTGGGGAATGTGCCCCACCTCCCCATATGTGCAATACATACTGGTGTGGGGTATACAGCTGTACAAACGGATGCCCAGTCTCCACAACCGGACGGGTGGAACAGGATGCATGCCCAACGCGACTGTGTTCACAGCACCCACATCCGAACACGGGTCAGTTTTCAGCCTCCAAGGAGACGCAGCCCCCCGGTTAGGTACAGAATTTGCAGCGACCCAGGTATGGAACTAATCCCCGCAGAGACATATAAAACAAACACCGGTTTTGCTGCCTACGTTACTCAAAAGCCTTTTCTTCCCTGCACGCAGACAAAACGCAAGAATAAGTGCCATGTCCAGTCGCTCAAAGAAACAGTGCCCAGTTTCCCAACCTGGAATAGATTCTGTTGGCCAGTTTCCTGGAACCGGATGCCTCTCTTTCAGAGACACCTTAAGAAAAAAAGTTCGAAGTCTTTCCTTTGGCATCCAAAACAGAACTGCAACGTTGACACTTCATCCAATAGCCTCCGGTTGATTTGGGGGGGGCTGTGCCCCCTCTCGAGCCTTTTGGAAAGAAACAGCCCCTCATCGCACCCTTGTGTTCCCGCCTCCCCCAACTCCATCCTGAGACGATGGGCCACATTCTGTGACTGGGTCTCTCTTCCGTCGAAAGCGATGTCACAGTTCTTAGGTTGGGGCCACCGTTGTCCATCCGATATATTTCTTTTAGAAAAAGGAGGTTAAGATCGGGCCCGTTCACTTGCTCTTGTTCTTCTTCTGTGCCACCAGGATGACCGTTTTTCTGTTTTCGCCCCAGAGGCGGCCAAGAGAGTCCAACTCCCAGTTTTCGCCCCCTCAGAGTAAAAGGCCAGAGGTAGACAAAGTTGTCTTAGTACTTCTGGAACCCGGAGGCCGTTTCCCTCCTCTCCCAGTACTACTTTGTGTCCGGCGAGCAGGAGAGAAGGGCTCTAGGCTTAGACTAGGACCAGAGACTAACCAGACTTTCAAGTACCCGATTTTTCCTGAGCATTTGATGAATTAAGAGTGAATTAGAGACACCCCCCCTCAAGCTTCTCTAACTGCCGGTTCATTTGAGGAGGTCCAATTATGGAGGGAGACGGGTGGGGGCTCACCCGGAACCACTTCCCTTGGGGGGGGGGGCTATCTTACAGTTCGTCATCTGAGAATATCAGCATCCTCTTCTCAATGTTTTTGCTCTTCTTGCTGGGCGGTCCTTCCGCTTTGGGCTCCGCGCTCCCGTTCTGCGCGGCCTCCCCGGTCTCCGTTTCCTTCATGGATTGCTGGGTGTAATGCTGGTAGGCCGGGGAGAAGTTGTGGATGGCGTCTTGGACAATATCTTGGGGGCTCATGGTCTCCTTCAGGCCGCTGGAGATGCTCTGCATCGGAGCCAGGTTAGCTGGGAAGAAGAAAGGGATCACAGCCGTGTGAACTCAATCCAATATCTGTTCTATAAAAAGGCACTAAGTAAAGACCACAGATACACACAGAAAACCCCTTTTCATCTTATTTAAGACATTTTTACCCTCCGTTTCTCCCCGTGGGGACCTCAAGATAACTTTACAGAGGCATAAAATAAAATATAGAATAACTTAAATAGTTTCAGGGGAGTAGCCGTGTCGGTCTTCAGCAGAAGAGGGAGATCCAAGTCCAGTAGCCCCTTAGAGACAACGAGGTTTTCGAGGAGCGAGCTTCCAAGAGTCCATGCTCCCTTCATCAGACACAAATGGGAATCGAGATCCCTGAGCCCTTATATCCCAAGGCAGAAGGCAAGAGGGGTGTTACGAAGAAAGCAGCCAGGATGCAAAGGTACAGTGCAAAATGCGATCAAATTGATTAGAGCAGAGGGAAAATGCTTTTTCTGCCCCAAAGGGATATGAGGGCTAAGAGATCTCCATTCTCGCTTGTATCTGATGAAGGGAGCTTTGATTCTGGAAGGCTTGTGGCCCGTAAATCTTCTTGATACCTAAGGTGCTACTGAACTAAAATCTAGCTCTACTACTACTACTACTACTACTACTACTTACTACTACTACTACTACTTCTGGATTGCCCAGTCCCTGAATATACAAGGTTCTGGGTGATTTACAACAGGTTAAAAACAATACAAAATTTCAGATTAAAATCAACAAATCAATTATCTTTAATTTAATAGTCTCCAGAGGACATCCTTAATTTTAATCAAAAACCTACTCTGGGCTGTTGTTCTATCTTGTGGGCAGGTTAAGGAGGCCAAAGTGGGCGGAATGGAAGAAATGAGGGTGCCATGATGGAAAACCAAAAAGCCTGGCGGAACATCTGTGCCTTACAGGCCCTGCGGAATTGCATTAAGTCCCGCAGGGCCCTGATGGAAGTTGGCAGAGAGTTCCGCCAGGTCGGAGCCAGCACTGAAAAATTCCTGGCTCTGGTCAAGGACAGCCAGATATCTTTGAGGCCAGGGATCACCAGTATATTGCTCTCAGCAGAGTGCAACACTCTCCCGGGGACATACAAAGCATAGCAGACAGGCAGCATGGTAGAGTGGCTAGTCCAACACTAGGATCTGGGAGACCCAGATTCGAATTCTTACTGTGTTATGGAAGCTCGCTGGGTGACCTTGGGCCAGTCATTCCCTTTCAGACAGTGGTGGTTGTACGGATAAGTGGAGACAGGGAGAATGATATTGTAAGCCACTTTGAGTCCCGATTGGAGAAAAGCAGGGTATAAATATCTCAGTAAAAATCCTATAGAACTGTGTTTCATAAACGCACAATGGCTGAAGAAATTCAGCTTCATAGAGTTACCCAAATGCCAGGAAGTTTGGAGATAATTTCTATTGACCCTTTTCAACCAGGGTTATACTTCCATGAGTTTACAGTCCCAATTTAGTTTTTTAAAAAATATAAAGATTTTCTTCCTCAACATTCTGAGAAGTAGAAACTTGGAAACTGGTTCGGGTTCTCAGGTGAGGCGGGGGGCTTACCAGGAGCCTCCGGGGAGAGGGAGCTCCAAAGTGAGTTCCGGGTGAGCTGCCGTCACATTTAACGGGACCGCATTCCTTTTAAATGCCTTCCCTCCATTGGAAATAATGGAGGATGGGGGAACCTTTTGGGCTCATAGAATTGGACCCCTTGGTCCAGTCTTTTTGAAACTTGGGATTTGGGGGGATTTTTAGGACAGGCACCAGCAACTATGCTGAAATTTTGGTGCGTCTCCCTCAAAAATTTGGTGCCTCTGCCCCAGAAACCCACTGATCGATTCTCCATTATACCCTACGGGGACGGGTCTCCATAGGGTATACCGGAGCACCCAGCAGCTGTTTCTCCCCCCCCTGCTTTCTGATAGGCCTGAAGCAGGGGGAGGGGCTCCAAACCAGGGGATCCCCTGCCCCCCAACTGGGGATAGGCAACCCTAAAACTGGTAGATAACATCACAAGAGGCTGAATGATCTATGTAGGCTGGAAAAAAGTTTCCATGCTCAAGAGACTAGAGAAGGGCCCCCCAAAACGGTGCCCAAGGGCACCAGGGTCCCCCCCCCCGACCAAAACCTTTCCCGGTGTCCACCAAGTGCTTTTAGAAGTGGGCGTGGCCAGTGGGCCTTTTGCCCAGCAGGGCTTTTGATTGGCCACTGGAGATCTGATTGACTGTAGAGATTTGTTTCTAAATTGCTTTCGCAGCAGCTGCCACTATAGCACAGGGATCTTCACTGTGTGACTGAAGGAAAGCATGGCAGGCCGGCTGGGGAGGGGAAGCAAAGGGGAGGCATTTAAAGACGCCCCCCCCCCCGATTTGTCTTCGCTTCCCCAGTTGGCCTGCTGGAGGGAGAGTGGGTCAGTTTCACTCCCCTTCCCCTTGGAAGTGGAGGGGGAGTGAAACTGACACTCTCCAGTGGCCAGCGGGATATTTCGGCAATCCCGAGTCCTTCCCGAATCCCAGTATAATACCGATGCTGGGATTCAGGAATATCGGCCTTTACCAATATTTTCATGGTTTGGTTTACCCAAACCCAAAAAATACCAACTGATTCACTGTGAAAGTTTAAAATGGAGCCTGCATATTCAGAGGCAGTCTACCTCTGATGATCAGATGCTGGAGGGCAAGGAATAGCAGAGGGCTATTTTCTGTACTGCACAGCTTTGTCAGGTTGCCTCTGTTGGACTAAATTTTATTTATATATTTAAAACCTTTTCCCCCCACTGCATTTCAAATCTATTCAAGGTATCCCGGGACGGTGAACACTAAAATATGGAGGTCTTCAACCAGAGGCTCAATGGCCATCGGACAGCAATGCTGATTCTGTGAACTTAGGCAGTTCCTGAGAGGGAGGGAAGGAAGGGTTGCCTCAGTGCTTAATTCTCGTGGCCCTTTCTTACACGCCCACAGAAATACTGATCACCACTTTGGAGTCAGGAAGCAATTGTTCTCCAGGCCCGTTTGGCCAGGGATCCTGGAGGTTTTCTATTATCTTCTGGTCGCTGGGTGTGTGTGTGGGGGAGAGGTATTTGTGAATTTCCTGCATTGTGCAGGGGGTCGGACTAGATGACCTTGGAGGTCCCTCCCAACTCTATAATTCTATGTGTAAGGAAATATTGTTAAATAATACATTTGTTTTAAAAGGTACCTAGGAAAACAGAGCTTCTAGCTGGAGTGTTGAATAGTTGCTATTACGGTTATACATAACCACACCCCCTAACATTTGTTGGTTGGCTCCACCTCCTGTGGCAGCCATTTTGTGGAGGGGGAGGCAGTTGTGAATTCCCTGCCTTGTGCAGGGGGTTGGACTAGATGGCCCTGGAGGTCCCTTCCAACTCTGTGACTCTGTGGTTCTAACCTGCATCAGAGTTCCAAAAGGTGCCCACAGTCTCAAAAAGGTGGGGGAACCCCCTGAACTAAGGAATTCAGCACTTCAGCCACAGCTCCAAGTTCTTCCCTCTGCCCTTTCCCATCCTTAAAAAATTATGGCGAAGAGCAGAACAGCCTCCGGAATTACCCTCCTTTAAAGACACTGAACTGCAGGCTGTGGAAGGTCGGTAGTTCAGCAGTTCGAGACCCGGGTGCCGCATGACGGAGTGAGCTCACGTCTCTAGTTCCAGCTCTTGCCAACCTAGCCGTTCGAAAGCAAGAAATTGCAAGTAGATAAATAGGTACCACTTCGGTGGGAAGCTAACAGCGTTCCGTGCGCCTCGGTGTTTAGTCAGGCCGGCCACATGACCACGGAGACTTCTTCGGACAGCGCTGGCTCTTCGGCTTTGAAACGGAGATGAGCGCCGCAACCCTAGAGTCAGACTCGACTGGCTTTCGAGCAAGGGAACCTTTACCTTTTTAATGTACAAAAAGCTAGGTTGGGTGTCGAACCGGAAGCATCCGGTTTCCAGAATCCTCGCCATGAATTTCTACCTGCTCCTCCGAACTCTACCTTGCCTGGAAGGAACGCAAGACTGATGGAAGTGCTGGCAAATTACCTGTCGAGTTCTCCTTCTTCTCCCTGTACACCTGGCAGGTGAACGCGTACCGGAGGGCGATGGAGGCAAACAACATCTCGATGCAGATGATGAAGTTCTGGTAGCCGGCGGAGACCGTCCCGGCCCCCACCGGCTTCCCGTCGATGATCTGGACCTCTGGGATCACCCCGCACTTCTCCAGGATAGCCAGCAACATCCCTGTTAAAAAAATAATAATGTTCCTGAAGTGTCATGAATATTCTGGTGCACTGCTCAGGATCCAGCGCTTTTCAGACCTACATACCTGAACGAGGCAGCGGAATAAGTTGTTTGCACTGCAGAAAATCCACATCATTCCCATTCAAGTACCATTTTGTCCCGTTGTCTTGGCTACCAGGCAGCACCAGAACATTTTATTTATTTACTTATGTAATTCAGTTTTCATCCCGCCCTCCCCGCAAGCGGACTCGGGGCAGGTTACAAGTCACAGAGTAACAATACAATCAAATAGTTAAAACCATCAAATACAAAACACCTTTAAGACCAACAGAGGTTTACTCAAGGTATGCGTTTTCACATGCACGCAAACTTTTATCAAATGCGTCAGAATGGCAATCAAGGTTCAAACTTATAGCCAGAGAATGAACACCAAATTAACATGCAACATCATGATGATCAAGATATGCAAAGTGACACTAAACAACAAGTTAAGGTTATGGGGCCAACAGGTGTAAAGCAATAAATATGTCAAAATAGCAGATAAATGTCTAAAGGTGTCTTTTCTAATTGTGGGAAGTGACTGGGAATCTTCATTCTCTCCTGTCAGGCGGGGAGGGCACTTAACACTACCTCCCCCTCCAAAAATTGCTGTTATGTCAGCAGCCATCCTAATATCCCTCGCAAAAATTCAGTATTCTAATATACTAATCTGAAAGGAAATACATTAAAATACAAAGGATTTATAGTCCCTTCTTCTTGAGAATGCACATGTGAGGACTGAATGAGTTAGCATATGTAATGAGATTAAAAAACCCAATATCCCTGTTGAGTCCTGGGGAGGTTTTTGATCCAAGTGTTGTAATAATAATAATAACAACAACATGGTGGATTCGCCTCAACAGCGATGCTCAGTTTGAGCTGGATCTGTTTGGCCAGCATTATCACCAGGGGAGGCCACGACAGATTTGCAGGCCCTGCGGAATTGTAACAAATCCCTCAGGACCCTGATCTCAAGAGAGAGCTTGTTCCACCAGGCAGGGGCTAAGGCAGAAAAAGCCCTGGCCCTAGTTGAGGCGAGTCGGACATCCTTGGGGCCGGGGACAACCAGGAGATGTTGATCACTTGAGCGCAACGCTCTGCAAGGGACATACGGGGAGAGTCAGTCCCGAACATTCAGGAATGGCTAGCAAGAGCTTGCCGTGACCCGGATGGCCCAGGCTAGCCTGATCTTGTCAAGTCTCGGAAGCTGAGCAGGGTCAACCCCGGTTAGTGCTCGGAGGAGAGACCACCAAGGAAGCCCATGGTCGCAACACAGAGGCAGGCAATGGAAAAACCACCTCTGAAGGTCTCCCGCCTTGAAAACCCGATGGGGGTCTCCATAGTCGGCTACGACTCGACAGCAACTTCCACCACCAAGAGCTACCACGGACCACTGGACAAAGATTCCTTCTGGGCCTCCCTTAAAACTATCCAGTCCAAACCTCGGAGGACCACAAGTCTCCATGCCCCTGGAATTTTGTCCCCTTCTTCATCTTCCGTCGGCAACCCAAGTTTCTTTGGCACCAGTATCTTCCTTAGAGAAGATGGGGGTGGGGAGACCCACACAGCCAAGGAACACTAGAGGTCCCAAACATACAAATTCCACTAGTAGAAAACACCATCAAAGATTGCAAAACAATATATTAAACAATTATAAACTTGGCGGTGTCAAGAAGAGGAGGAGGAGATTGGATTTATACCCCGCCCTTCACTACCCAAAGGTGTCTCAGAGCGGCTTACAAACTCCTTTCCCTCCCCCTCCCCACGACAGACACCCTGTGAGCAGTGTTCCCTCTAAGCTGAGTGAGTGTGAGCTAGGTCACAGTTTTTTAGCCTCTGGCTCACACAGTTTTGTCTCTGCTCAGGAAGGATGGCTCCAGAGCAACCTAAGTTATGCAGGAGCCAAATCGCTCGCTCACAACTTTAAGGCCAGTAAGCTCACAAAGTAGAATTTTTGCTCACAAGACTCCACAACTTAGAGGGAACATTGCCTTTGAGGTAGGTGGGGCTGAGAGAGCTCTTGACAGAAACGGCTCTTTTTCAAGAACAGCTCTGCCAGAACTACGACTTGCCCAAGCTCATCCAAGCAGGTGCACGTGGAGGAGTGGGGAATCAAACCCGGTTCTCCCAGATTAGAGTCTGTGCACTTAACCACTACACCGAACAAAGGCTGTTTGGACAATATTATGACTATGCAGACCCCTCCTATGAAGTTACACTGAGTACATGGACTTTATGTCTTATCTCCAAAGGAGGAAATATTGTATCTTATGCCTTATTATAGTTACAGTATGCACTAATGTGGTGGTTGTGACACCACCAACTTTATAACTATTTAATATATTGTTTGGCAACCTTTGCTGGTGTTTTCTACTAGTGGAATTTGTATATTTGGGACCTCTGTGACACTAGTCTTTTCCCCTAGATTTTTTGGATTAAAGGAACACTGTAAAGGTAAAGGTTCCCTTGCTCGAATGCCAGTCAAATCCGACTCGAGGGTTGCGGTGCTCATCTCCGTTTCAGAGCCGAAGAGCCAGCGCTGTCCAAAGACATTTCCGTGGTCATGTGGCCGGCATGACTAAACGCCAAGGCGCACGGAACACTTTTACCTTCCCACTGAAGCGGTACCTATTTATCTACTTGCAATTTCTTGCTTTCGAACTGCTAGGTTGGCAGGAGCTGGAACTAGAGACGGGAGCTCACTCCATCATGCGGCACACTCTGGTCTCGAACTGCTGAACTACCGACCTTCCACAGCCTGCAGTTCAGTGTCTTAACCACTTGAGCCACTAGAGGGCTATAAAACCAGGAAGGAGGGAAATTTTCTCCTTCTGATGAGAACTGGGCATCAACTGGTTAAGCCGATTGACAAACAGCCTCAGGACAGACCAAAAGAAGTACCTCTTTGCACACCTAATTGACTTAAGGGATTTCGTCCACAGCAGGCAGAAGGCAACAGCAGGCAGAAGGCTTTAAAAAGAAACGGAGGGATGAACTGATTCACTGTGAAAGTTTAACATGGAGCCTGCGTATTCAGAGGCAGTCTACCTCTGATGAACAGATGCTGGAGTGCCAGGAATAAGGGAAGGGCTATTTCTATACTGCACGGCTTTGTCAGGTTGCCTCTGTTGGACTAAATTTTACTTATGTATTTAAAACCTTTTTTTGGGGGGGCTGCCTTTCAAACCTATTCAAGGTTTCTTGGGACGGTGAACACTAAAATATGGAGGTTTTCAAACAGAGACTGGACGGCCATCTGACAGCAGTACTGATCCTGTGAACGTAGGCAGATCCTGAGAGGGAGGGCAGGAAGGGTTGCCTCAGTGCTTAATTCTCGTGGCCCTTTCATACACGCCCAGGGAAATGCCGATCGCCACTTTGGGGTTGGGAAGCCATTTTTCTCCAGGCCAGTTTGGCTGGGGGATCCTGGAGGTTTTATTGCCCTCCTCTGGGCATGGAGCAGTGGTCGCTAGGGGTGTGGGGGGAGGGTTGTGAACATTGTTCCTTCTAAGCTGAGTTAGTGTGAGCCAGCTCACAGTTTTTTAGCCTCCGGCTCGCACATTTTTGTCTGAGCTCAAGAAGGATGGCTCCAGAGCAAACTGATTGATGCAGCAGCCAAATCGCTCACTCACAACTTTAATGCTGGTAGCTCACAAAGTAGAATTTTTGCTCACAAGAGGGAACATTGGTTGTGAGTTTCCTCCATTGTGCAAGGGGTTGGACTACATGACCCCGGAGGTCCCTTCCAACTCTGACTCTATGTAATTAAAACAAGTGTTTAAAGTACAAATATATATTTAATTTTTTTTTTAACTAATGAAACATACGGACGTACAAACATACAAACAGGGAGGAGGGCTCAAAAGAGTTAGTGAAGGAACGCCAAACAAAACATAAAAGTCTTTATCCGGTGGCGGAAGACGACAATAGAGGGAGACGGGTGAATCTCTCTGGGGAGGGGGTTCTATAGTTTGTGTGCCACAACCGAGAAGACCCTTTCTGTCATGTATTGAGCCTGAGCCATCCCTGAAGGTGGATCTTGAACTGGGGGAGCTTGCTCGCCAAGAACAATAGCTTGCCAGGATCCTGGAATTGGCCAATATATAAGTAGTAAATAGCCTATACTTGGGAGTGGGTGTGTTTGGGGCGTGATGTTTGCGTGCTTTATATGCAGGGCTCAAACCTTGCTGGGTGTCTTGTAGTGTTCTTGAAATCACATAATAAACTAGAGCTGATTCACTGCAATGCGTCCAGAACCCAGTATTTAACACTTTCTTGGGTGGCCACTACCAGTGTTCCCTCTAAGCTGAGTTAGTGTGAGCTAGCTCACAGTCTGTTAGCCTCCAGCTCACACATTTTTGTCTTAGCTCAGGAAGGAGGGCTCCAGAGCAAACTAATTCATGCAGGAGCAATTTTAATACCAGTAGCTCACAAAGTAGAATTTTTGCTCACACGACTCCACAGCTTAGAGGGAGCATTGCTTGCAACCAGTGTTCCCTCTAAGCTGAGTTAGAGTGAGCTAGCTCACAGTCTGTTAGCCTCCAGCTCACACATTTTTGTCTAAGCTCAGGAAGGAGGGCTCCAGAGCAAACTAATTCATGCAGGAGTCAAATCGCTCCCTCGCAATTTTAATGCCAGTAGCTCACAAAGTAGAATTTTTGCTCACACGACTCCACAGCTTAGAGGGAACATTGATGGCATCTAGTGTCAGATGGTGGGGGCACCCGAAATGGGGTCCCCAAAGATGAACAGAGAGGGCCAGTTGCCCCACATAAGCACAGAAGCGGGCAAAGGAGACTTCCGCCCACCCACACTGCCAACTCTTGTGACAAAAGGGGCCACAAGTTGACCAAGGGCTATGGTTTCAGTGGCCTACATAGTCACAGGGAGGGTGGAAGAGCTAACCGAAGAACAACTGCACGCACGTAATCGGCTTGGCTTATCTGGATTTCTTTTAAGTACGGAATGCACACAGATCTAGGCGCTTGCCAGCACTGCAGCTGGTGACAAGATGTTTTTTAAAAAAGAGACCACACAGGGAAATCTTTCAGGGATGCCACTAGTTCAGCTTGCTGGGGAAGGGGTTCATCTGTTTATATATTTATTTATTAAATCCGATATTAAACTGCCCCCTCCCCGAAGGACAGGGCTCAGGGCGGAGTACAACAGTATTGTACAATACATCATTGAAAAAAATCTTTATTAATTCACCTCACCACAGTGCAATATAAAAGCCATAACAAAAAATAAGCTGAACAAACCGAGAGACGAGGGGGAAGAAATTCAACACAGGACCTAACGGGGCTGTATCCCACCAACTGGCACCTGCAGTCGGATCCATCTCGAATTATTTCTTCACTGTGAATCTCAGAGAAATAATTTATAAAACCATCGACTAATTGGGGCCTCGATGCATTGAAAGGATTTGTAAATCTTAAAGAGGTCCAAAATGCAGTTTGGAGTATAAATACACCATTAGAAGCCAATTAAAACCAACACAACACAGCAAGTAGCCTAAAAGATGGCACTAAAAATTCTAATGGTGCCGCTGCCTCGCGGGGAGGCAGGGGGTTAGAGTGACGAGAAGATGGTAGCCGTTGCCAATGCTCCCTCTAAGCTGTGGAGTCTTGTGAGCAAAAATTCCACTTTGTGAGCTACTGGCATGAAAGTTGTGAGCGAGCGATCTGGCTGCTGCATAAATTAGTTTGCTCTGGAGCCCTCCTTCCTGAGCTGAGATAAAGATCTGTGAGCCGGAGGCTAAAAAACTGTGAGCTAGCCCACACTGACTCAGCTTAGAGTGAACATTGTCCGTCACTGTCCCCAACCAAATGACTGGCAGAACACCTCTGCCTTACTGGCCTTGCGGAATTGCATCACATCCCACAGGGGACGGAGGTGGGAGCCAGGACGGAAAACGCCCTGGCTCTGGTTGAGAACAGCTGGATATCTCTCAGGCGAAGGACCACCAACAGGTTTTAGGGTTGCCAAGTCGACTGACCTGCAAAGCAGGGGGATTCCCGGCTCCGTCGGGAGTCTCCCCGCGCACGTGCAAAGCGTGCGTACGCCACGATGATGTCACTGGAAATGACGTCATCACGTCACCCACGTTGGGGGCGGGGCACTGTGACTCAAGGGAAAACCATAGAGTTTTCCTTCGATTCACAGAGTGTCCCCTCCACAACGTGGCCAGCGTGATGATGTCACCTCCGGGTGACATCATCACGCTGGGGACGCCCTCTGGCAGGGGGTGGAGTTCCCCCTGGGGCCCGATCTGCCGCCGCCGGGTAATGGGCCTCCCGGGCGAGAATTTACCCGTCCCCAGCGGGGGCTTGGGAAGCCTAACAGGTTTTGATCTACTGAGAGAAGAAGAAGAGAGAAGAGATTGGATTAATACCCCGCCCTTCACTACCCAAGGGAGTCTCAGAGCGGCTTACAATCTCCTTTCCCTTCCCCTCCCCACAACAGACACCCTGTGAGGTAGGCAGGGCTGAGGGAGCTCTTTGGAAAACTACTCTTTCCAGAACAGATCTGAGAGAACTTGTGACTGACCCAAGGTCACACCAGCAACTGCACGCGGAGGAGCGGCGACTCAAACCCAGTTCTCCTAGATTAGAGTCCGTGCTCTTAACCACTACACCCAACTGGCTCTGGGCACAGTCCTCTCCTGGGGTTTACACCAGGAGAGGCAGTCTCGAAGATACGTAGGTCCCAGAGGGTTAATGCATTAGGAGGGTGTCAAGATGACCTGGGTTCAGATACAGTGCAGAGCCAGTTTGGTGTAGTGGTTAAGTGTGTGGACTCTAATCTGGGAGAACCGGGTTTGATTCCCCACTCCTCCACTCGCACCTGCTGGATGACCTTGGGCAAGCCATAGTTCTGGCAAAGCTGTTCTTGAAAAACAGCAGTTTCTGTCAGAGCTCTCTCAGCCCCGCCTACCTCGCAGGGTGTCTGTTGTGGGGAGGGAAGGGAAAGGTATAAATCCAATTTTCTCCTCCTCCTCCTCCTCCCACCTTCTGGGATCATGACAGACTCGAACTCGGGACCCGTTGAGGCATGGGCCAGCATTCCCCCGACAGAACAGTAGCATATTGAGGAGTCGCTAAGACAGGATTCTTCTCTGTCCCATATTTCTTTTCCCCCAGGGTAGCCATTCTTAAACGCGAGCATCCTGCTCGGCTACTTCGAGATCTCCCCCCACTTCAGCCGGCACACCCACCTTGCCAAAAAGAGAGGAAGATGACCGCCTTGATGGTGAGGAACTTGAGGACCGGCTCGAAGGGGCGCAGCAGCTCTGTGGTGGCGAAGTAGAAGAGGAAAAGCGCATAGAGGGCCAGGCTAACCGAGAAGTTGTAGATGATGGTGATGTAGAGGTACCCGCTATGGATGCTGGGAGAGACGAGGAGAGAAGGGAAGGGGGTCACAGTTCAGCCCCAGACATCGCTGAAAGAACCCCCAACAACTGCCCCACACTGACAGCCAGTGTGGTGCTGCGGACAGAGTGGTGGACTAGAACTCTGGGCGACACGGGTTCAGATCCCCCACTTCTAGCATGGAAGCTCGTGGGGTGACCTTGGGCCCGTCACAACCTCTCCGCCTGGCCTACTTCACAGGGCGGTTGTTCTGAGAAAACAGAGGAGGGGAGACCGCTGTTCTAAGCTGCTTTTGCATACCCAACTGGGGTGAAAAGCAGAATACAAGTAATTTTTTTTTAAAGGCACATTGAAGAAGAAGAGAAGAGATTGGATTTGTACCCCACCCTTCACTCGGAGTCTCAGAGCGGCTTACAAACTCCTTTCCCTTCCCCTCCCCACAACAGACACCCTGTCGGGTGGGTGGGGCTGAGAGAGCTCTTTCCAGAACTGTCCTCGAGAGAATAGCTCTGAGAGAACTATGGCTTGCCCAAGGTCATCCAGCAGCTGCAAGTGAAAGAGTGAGGAATCAAACCCGGTTCTCCTAGATTAGAGTCCACACTTGTAAGCACTACACCAAAGGTGGGAGTTGGCAGTGTTCTGTTGGAGATGGAAAGCTGGGAATGGCTTCAAGCTGGCAAACCAGTGAAGAGAAACACGCTGCTTTGGGAACTGCAGCCACAACGCCCAATTTTTAGCACTCCCTTTTGGGAACCTGTCCCAAGTGTTTACCAGCAGGGCCCATTCCAGTTACCGTTTTGCCCCAAGCAAGGGACGCCCCCCCCCCCCATCACGTCCTGGCTCACGTTGCCTGGGATTGAATTAGACCCGGCCAGCGCAGTGTTAGCCCAAACAGAGAGGCATGAGCCAAGGCCACATGGCACATTGGTGCCATTTCGTTTTCGGTCCATTCACCGAAAGTTCGGTTTCTGGCAGTTGTATTGGGTTTTGAAGTGGATCAGAGTTCAAGACTTAAGAAGTAGGTTTATAAAGGAAAGACCTTTGTTTGTTTGACCAATACACTGTTTTACAGCTCAGTTCGGTGTACTGGTTAAGTGCGTGGACTCTAATCTGGGAGAATAGGGTTTGATTCCCCACTCCTCCTCTCGCAGCTGCTGGATGACCTTGGGCAAGCCATAGTTCTGTCAGAGCTGTCCTTGAAAGAGCAGTTTCTGTCAGTGTTCTCCCAGCCCCACCGACCTCACAGGGTGTCTGTTGTGGGGAGGGGAAGGGAAGGGAGTCTGTAAGCCGCTCTGAGACTCTGACTATAAATACATTGGGTATAAAAATATTGGGTATAAATCCAATCTCTTCTTCTTCTTCGTACCCAACGAAGGTCCTCTCGGCCCAGATGCAAGAGCCCGTGCCTAGCCCTTAACCACCACCACCCCGAACTTTTCAAAATCCTCACTTGAAGTCGCCGTCGTGGTATTTCCCGAAAGCTTGCAGGATGATGGTGAGAACGGCCATCAGGGGCTTTACGATGCAGAACTGCAGCGTCGCCTGGATGAACGGAACAAAAACGGGGTTAAAGGTTTTAAGTGGTGGGCTCTGCATTACCATGGCCCGCCCCCCCCCCCCCCATGCGCCAGCTCTGACAATCTCCCGTCAAGGTGGCTACAGAATTTTAGGGGCCCTTGTACAGAGGGCAGTCCCCTTCATCACAGTACTCATCTCCCCACCTCCAATGGTCACAGCATGGGCAAAACCGGACCCAGGTTTGTACCCATCTCTCCCCTACCCACATCCCCAAAGGGTGTTCTGCTCCGATGGATGTTCACCTGCTTGCAGAACCGAAGGAACCCAATCGAATAGGACATCCCTTGTAGACAGCACGTCCCATAGATGCAGCTAGACCTGGGAGAAGACAGAACAGCGCAGAGTCAAACTTCAGCCACAGGGAGGATATTAAAATGTTTCTACCCCGGTATACTCTGCAACGGAAGCTCCCGAGGGGGAGGTTGCAGCTCAGTGGGCCGGCCACCGCTATGCATGCCGAAGGTTCCAGGTTCGATCCCTGGCATCTCCAGTTGCAGGTGGTCTTTAAGATTATAACAGACTAACATGGCCACTGTTATGTATCGAAGTTCGACTGCGTGCGAGGCTGGGCCTCCACGCAGTCATGCGAAGCAGTCGAGCTTCGCTCCCGAGAACAATGGCCCGAGCGGATCTTAGCCCGCACCTATCGGAGAGCTAGGATCCTAGTGAAGACCTATGGAATGCCTGACAGTGTAAATAACTTATCACTGGTGTGGGGTGTTTTTTAGGTATGGGGCTTACTGGGAATATAAGCCGGCCTGCGAGCCGGTAGACTTGTCTTGTCCTTCACTTAAAATAAAAGTATGAGCTGAAATCACTGCATCAGTCTCAGTACTCAGCTACCCCTTTGCAACTTCCAGGGATGGCTAGTGCACGAAACAGGATACTGGACCAGAGGAACCACTGGTCCGATCCAGCATGGTTCTTCTGTTCTGACGGGTTGCCCTTCTCAGCACCTTTTCAAGGTCCAGATATCTTCTCGGGATCTTTTGCATGCATTCATGCAGATACCAAAGTTTCAGTCTTTTTGCAAAGCACGTTGCCAGCCACAAATTGGAGGGAACTGGGCCCTGCAACCACGAGCATATTCTCTCTCTCTCAGAAACACAATCAAATCGAGCAGGAGCTGAGACAGCTGGAGAAATACTAGCCTGGAGATTTCCACATGGAGAAGAAGAAGAGTTGGTTTTTATACCCCGCTTTTCTCTACCTTATAGAGCCTCAAAGCAGCTTACAATCGCCTTCCTCTCCCCACAACAGGCATCCTGTGAGGTAGGTGGGGCTGAGTGAGAGAACCGTGACTGACCCAAGATCACCCGGCTGGCTGCACGTGGAGGAGGAGGAGTGGGGAATCAAACCCGGCTCTCCAGATTACAGACTGCCGCTCTTAACCACTGTGCCACACTGGCTCACAGAGCAGGGGTCCCCAACCTTTTTGAGCAGTGGGCACCTTCGGCATTCTGACACACAGGGCGACAGACGCAACCACAAAATGGCTGCTGCAGGAGGTGGAGCTAGCCACAAGGAGAAAGCCCAACTGCTGAGGAGAAGAGGGGCAATTAAAAAAAAATACACTGGGAAAGAGAATAAAACCAGTGCTGTGGTGGGAGCTGCCGCCGGACCTTTATTTTAATCAGCACAGTTGATTGGATCTCCAGCGGCCAATCAGAAACCCTGCTGGGCAAGAGCTCCGCCTGGCCCCCACTCGATTTCTAAAAAAGTTTGGTGGGCACCGGGAAAGGTGTTGGGTGGGGGATCCCAGATCGGCTAACTCACACAACGGGCTTCCCTCGGATCTCGGCCATGATGGTGCTCTCTCCCCCGAGGTACTCAAAGCAAAGGCTCAGGAAACTGTAGATCACAAATGCTGCCGGGGAGAAAGGGAAGAGGCATTCACACAGAAGTACGAGCTACCTAAATGTGTAACCCGAAGGATGAGATAACACGATCAAGGGAATATGGGCTCCACTTCTGTTCCCCTGCTGCCGACTTCAAACCCACAGATATTTTTTTGTTTGTTACAGATAACAAGCACTGCAGAGGTCTGGCTTAGCCAAAGGGTGAAGACAGACATTATATATATATATATATATATTTTCTCCAAAGAGAAGAGTCACAAGGATTTCTTCTGGCTTCAGCTGGCATGACAGGCATGCATATTCCGTCCAGTGAAATCTTCAGTCGTCTCTTGGTCTTGCGCCCTCATCCTACACTGCAGGCCGATCGCCTGCTTCTCTCTTTATTTAAAAATGCCAAACCAGGACATATTTCACATTCTCCACCCATTTCTGCAGTAGTGACATTCCCCGCACTGATGTTTTTTAAAACTGTGCATTATATGACATTTTCCACAGTAGGTTTTTCCTCACCGGGCATTTCCCTTACCTTACACCACATTTTCAGAATCCCCATTTTTTAACAAGTTCCAAAAACACAGAGTAAGAAGGAGAAAACCTAAGAGTTTGCACCTGGTGAGGAAAAATCTATTGCGGAAAATTTCACATAACACACAGTTTTAAAAACGTCAATGTGGGGGGAATTTCACTACTGTGGAAATGGTCTCTGGCTGCGATCACACACACTAAACAATCCACTTTCAATGCACTTTCCAAGTAGATTTTACTGTGTGAACTGGCAAAATCCAGTTGAAAAGTGGATTGAAAGAGGACTGAAAGTGGATTATTTGGTGTGTGTGACCACACCCTCTACTTTGGTCAAACCAAGAACAAGATAGTTTCTCCTTGCAGAAATCAGTTGCAAGACTGCTTCAGGAACTCAAGGCCCCTGGTGATGATACAAGCGCTAACCAGTCAGTGCTATGCACAGCTAACTTTTTTGCAGCAAGCTTCCTGAATGGCTTTCCCCTGCACAATTGGACAAGGAAAAGTTACATGCAGAATGCACCACAACTGCTTCCTGTTCAGCCCCCACTGTCTGCAACACTGTGATTTGCTTGACTGTAAGTATCCAAGTCAGGAGCAAAATAGGCAGTTAGCATACATATTTATGAAACACATAGAAGAAAATACCTTAAAAACTCAATTTAAAAAAGCAGAATTTAAAATGACAATTCAGGGCTGCTTGGCCAAATGCGGTCCCAAATTAAACCATCTTCAACTGCCTTCCCGAGGCACACCTACCTCTGGAGATTGTTCCGTAACCATGGGGCTGGCACTGAAAAGTCCCTGACTTGTGTACTCACCAATAGAACTTCTTTGATTGATGGGATCTTAAATCCTGAGCATTTAGGCAGAAGAACACCCTTCTGCCTACTGAGGGATCCAGAGAACAAGACCCCATCTCACCTTCATAGCAGTCGCGCACGGAGTCGAAGTAAACGTAATATTGGTGGCTGCCGATCAGCAAGAGGCTGAGCCAGGAATCAAAGGCGTAGATGGGGACAATGAAGAGGATCCGAATGATGTACCGCTGCTCGTTGGGAATGGTGTAGTTCTTCAGGTGCAAGAAGATCTAGGAGGGAGAGGACGAGAGAAGACTGTGATGATGAGCCAGTTTTCTGGGGATGTGATAAAAGGGTCAGACCAGGGGTGTCAAACATGCGGCCCGGGGGCCAGATCAGGCCCCCGGGGGGCTTCTATCAGGCGCGCAGTGGAACTGACTGTCTTCTGCTTCTTCTTCCAGTTCTGCTGCTGCTGCTGCATCATTGTAGGCTTGCAGCTTACAGATCCACACATACCGAACAACATACTCAAGATTGCAAAAGCACAGACATTTTGATGCAGTAATTCAGAGCAAGAAGTGTCAGTTATCAGACACTGTTAAATAAACATAATATAGCAAGAGTGCTGATGTTTTGAGCATGTTTTTTTATTTTAAGTTAAAAGAAAACCCTTTGTGTTTGTGTCCTTTATAAAGTTTATATCTCCGCTACCTGGCATTACACTTTATGACACACGTGGCCCCGGCCCAACAAGGTCTCATTTATGTCAGATCTGGCCCTCATGACAAATGAGTCCGACACCCCTGGGTTAGACCACTGCAATGAGGGATGGCCCAGGCTAGCCTGAGGGCATCAGGTCTCGGAAGCTAAGTGGGGCTGGCCCGGACTAGGGCTTGGATGGCAGACCACCAAGGAAGTCCAGGGTTGCTACAGAAAGGCAGGTGATGGCAAAACCACCTTTGTCCGTCTCTTGCCTTGAAAAACCGACAGGGTCACCATGAGTCAGCTGTGACTTCAGGGCACCTTCCGTGACCATTAGGCAACAGGCAGAACGGCCCTTCCTTGTATGGCCCCCAGCCAGCAGCAACCTGAAACCTGAATCTCACAAAAACATAAGAACCTCAGAAGAGCCCTGCTGGATCAGACCAGTGAGGATCCATCTAGTCCAGCATCCCGTCTCACCCAGTGGCCAACCCGTCCCTCTGGAGAGGGCCAACAACCTGCAGGAAGAAGAGGAGGAAGAGGAAGAGGAAGAGGAAGAAGAGGAAGAGGAAGAGGAAGAGGAAGAGGAAGAGGAAGAGGAAGAGGAAGAGGAAGAGGAAGAAGAAGAAGAAGAAGAAGAAGAAGAAGAAGAAGAAGAAGAAGAAGAAGAAGAAGAAGAAGAAGAAGAAGAAGAAGAAGAAGAAGAAGAAGAAGAAGAAGAAGAGATTAGATTTATACCCCGCCCTTCACTCGGAGTCTCAGAGCGGCTTACAAACTCCTTTCCCTTCCCCTCCCCACAACAGACACCCTGTGAGGTCGGTGGGCCTGAGAGAGCTCTTGCCAGAACTGCCCTATCAGGGACAGCTCTTGCCAGAACTATGGCTTGCCCAAGATTATCCAGCAGCTGCGAGTGGAGGAGGAGGAAACCAAACCCGGTTCTCCCAGATTAGAGTCCGCGCACTGAACCACGACACCAAACTGGCTCTTCACCATATCCTGACATGAAGAGGGTCTTAAGATTATGATGACGGGGGGGAGGGGAGAATCAGCTTCCCCCCTCTTTTTACATTTTTTGGTAACTTCCGGCCTGATGATGAGTGGTGTGGAACCCAAAAGCTTGTGCACTCTTATATGTCATTGGGTCAGTCTTAGTAAAGGCTTGTGTTCTTGGATTTCTGGACTCTACTTTTAAACCAACATGGCTGTAGCTATCGTATCTAAATGGAACCTCCGTGTTCAGAGGCAATATGCCTCTTAAAAACCAGAGGCTAATTGGGAGGGCTACGGCCTTCAAGTTGTACTGTCTTGCTTCCTAGAGGTATTTGGCCAGCCGCCAGTAGAAAGAAGCTGCTGAAATTTAGATGGACCCTTGTTACTCTGATCTGGCAAGACACATATTATATTCTTACAGCACCTCAGGGCCAGGAACAGTTACTGATGTGTGATAAGGAAGTGCCTCGTTCTTGAGGTTTTGTTGCCAAGAGATCAGCAGTGGCAGAACGTGCCGTCAAGTCAGAGCTGATTCATAGTGACCTCGTGGGGTTTTCATGGCAAGAGACGCTCAGAGCCAGTTTGCCATTGCCTGCCTCTGCGTCATGACCCTGGTAATCCTTGGAGGTCTCCCACCCAAATACTAACCAGGGCCGACCCTGCTTAGCTTTTCTAAGATCTGATGAGATCAGACTCACCTGGGCTATGCAAGTCAGGGCAAGAAGAAAGAAGAGATCGGATGTATACCCCGCCCTTGACTACCCGAAAGAGTCTCAGAGCAGCTTACAATCTCCTTTCCCTTCCTCTCCCCACAGCAGACACCCTGTAAGGTAGGTGGGGCTGAGAGAGCTCTTTCGAGAGCTGCTCTTGAGAGAACAGCTCTGAGAGAACTTGGGACTGACCCATGGTCACCCAGTTGGCTGCATGTGGAGGAGGAGTGGGGAATCAAACCCGGTTCTCCCAGATTAGAGTCCGCGCTCCTAACCACTACACCAGACTGGCAAGAGATCAGCAGACCCCTGAAAAGACACAGTCGTCTAAGACAGAGCTGGATTTCACACACAATTGTGAATCAGCTTTCTCACACACCGAACAATGCACTTTCAATTCACCTCCAATGCACTTTGCAACTGGATTTTAGTGTGTGAAACTGCAAAACCCACTTGCAAAGGTTCACTGAAGTGCATATGAAAAGTGCATTATAAAGGCATTCCTTGTATTTCCCTGTCGCTCATCTTCATTTCAAATTCTTCCTCTCTCTTTTTTTGGCTTCTGTGTTTAATATTTTCTTTGCTGCCGCGAGCGCTAAAAGCATGTTATTTTAAAAAACAAACGAACACACCGAAAAGTGGGCCTTTGCAGGAATCTAATGGAGCGGATTCCTGCAAAGGCCAACTTTTAAGTTGTTTTTTTCTTTTTAATCACATGCGTTTATTGCTCATGACAGCAAAGAACACCAGGCTGATGGGATGCCAAAGCCGTCAGAAGAGTCCACTGTGGTCAACCCAGATTGGTGGCACAAATATGGGCCCTCACGGCGAGGTCTTTCCCGGACCAATCACGTCGAAGTATCTACACGCAATGTACGACTGCACAAGCAACAAGATGCACATTGCTCACGATCTCCCAAAGGATGTCATATTTTCCCTAGGAAGGAGAGAAATTATCCTGTAGATGCACACAGCAAGAGGGCAGGGTCCATCCTGATAAACGCCTGCCAGTCAGCTCACGCCGACGCCATTTTGTGGAAAGCCAGGATCAGAAAGCACTGAGCTGGCTGCCTTCTGCCCTCTTACTCAGGAGTCATCCCACCACGCGGCATGGAACGGCCTTGCGTGCAAACATACAGAACTGGCTTCCATCCAAGACCCTCTAGCCCAGGAGTTTCGAACTCATTTGTTATAAGGGTCGGATCTGACATAAATGAGACCTTGTCGGGATGGGCCAGGTGTGTCATAAAAGGTAACAGCAGGTAGCGGAGATATAAACTTTGTAAAGGACACGAACACAAAGGGATTTTTTTTAACTTAAATTAAAACATGCTTAAAACATTAGCACTCTTGCCATATTTTGTTAATTGAACAGTGTCTAATAACTGACACCTCTTGCTCTGAATTATTGCATCATACTGTCTGTGCTGTTGCAATCTTGAGTATGCTGTTCAGGTGTGTATCTGTAAGCCGCAAACCTATGATGACGCAGCAGCAGCAGCAGAACTGAAAGAAGAAGCAGAAGACAGCCAGTTCCACTGCGGGCCTGACAGAAGCCCTCCAGGGGCCTGATCTGGCCCCCGGGCCGCACGTCTGACACCCCTGCTCTAGCCGCTAAAATGTGGAATCTCTTTTCCTGCTCATTCAAAAAGATTTCTAGCAGCAGAGAAGAGCAAGAGCCCAGGAGCACCTTAAAGACTCACAAAAATTGTGGCAGGGGAGGAGCTTCCGTGAGTCACTGCTCACTCTCCAGTTCACAAAGGTTGATAGATTTCCATTCTGTACAGTTAAATGTGATGCCTTCCATGGAGACAGATCCAAGATGCTTAGCCATGCCCTGACCTGGATAGCCCAGGCAAGCCCAGTCTCATCAGATCTCAGAAGCTAAGCAGAGTTGACTCTGGCAAATACATGGAAGGGAGACCTCCAAGGAATACCAGCCATTGGGAGGTGGGGGCAGGCTTTATTCAGCCACTTCTCTGAATATCCTCCAGGCTCCCAGTAGGGGTCAGTTACCAGAGGTCGCCATGACTTCCAGGTGTGTGCGCACGCACGCACACACGAAAAACACCCCCCCACACACAAAAAAGATGGGTAGCCATGTTAAGTCTGTCTGTAGCAGTAGAAAAGAGCAGGCCCAGTGGCACCTTAAAGGCTAACAAAATTTAATGATTTTAATGTAATGTAATTTTATTGGGCAGCGGTGGCTCAGGTGGTTAAGACACTGAACTGCAGACCGGAAGGTCGGTAGTTCAGCAGTTCGAGACCTGAGTGCTGCATGACGGAGTGTCTCTGGCCCCAGCTCCTGCCAACCTAGCTGTTTGAAAGCAAGAAACTGCAAATAGATAAATAGGTACTGCTTCGGTGGGACGGTAACAGCGTTCCATGCACCTCGGCATCTAGTCATGCCAGCCACATGACCATGGAAACATCTTCGGACAGCGCTGGCTCTTCGGCTTGGAAATGGAGATGAGCACCGCAACCCTAGAGTCGGATTCGACTGGCTTTCGAGCAAGGGAAAACCTTTACTAATTTATTGTAACAAGTCTCTGACTCGGTTTTGTTCTGATCTGCCCTAAGCCCGCTTTGGGGAGGGCGGAACAAAAATCCGAAAAATAAATAGATACATAAAATTTGTAGCAGGGTGTCGGGACTTTCACGAGTCACTGCTCACTTCTGCACTGAAGAAGTGAGCGGACTAACACAGACTGACGCAGCTACCCGTTCTGATCTAAAAAGCTTTCTGCTTCCCAAGCAACAAATTAGCAGGCAGACTTATCACCATATCCCATTAAAATCTGTCCAGAGTTTCTCGGGAACCCCCGACGGGGCTTACTGGCTGCCCTCTAGCCGACAGTGACATACTTTTTGTACAAGTTGTGTTTGTGCCAGCACGGCCTAGGGGTCCCCGACCTCACAAAGCCTCTGGGTACTTTTGAGAAAATTAGGGTGCGGTCAGACGGCGTGCTGGGAGCGGTTTAAATTGCTCCGGCCCTGATGCAGTCTTTTTTAACCTGGAGAATCGCGATCACACTCACCTCCTTGCTCCGGATCGCTGCGCAGCCACATCCCTGCCCACTGTCCACACGCAGGAGCGTGCTTTGCTGTTGTTTCTCTCTCTCTCAGTTTGGGCATGTGCACAGGCAGCCATCTGTAGAACTAACCCTGCTTAGCTTTCTGATGAGATCAGGCTAGCCTGGGCGATGGAGAGATAAACACAGGTGCTTTGCCACTTCCTGCCTCTGCGTGGCAACCCTGGACTTCCTTGGTGGTCGCCCATCCAAGTACTAACAAGGGCCGACCCTGCTTAGCATCTGAGATCTGATGAGACTGAGCCATCCAAGTCAGAGCAAGAGAGAAACAGAGGTGATTTGCCATTGCCTGCCTCTGCGTAGCAGCCTCGGACTTCCCCAGAGGTCTCCCATCCAAAGACTAACCGAGGCTGACCCTGCTTAGCTTCCAAGATCTGATGAGATTAGGCTAGCCTTGGCCATCCAGGTCAGGGCAACTAGCAAAAGAAGAAGAGATTGGATTTATACCCTTCACTCAGACCCACTTACAGTCTCCTTTCCCCTCCCCTCCCCAAAACAGACACCCTGTGAGGTAGGTGGGGCTGAGAGAGCTCTCTTGAGAACTGCCCATGAGAGAACAGCTCTGAGAGAACTTGCGACCGACTCAAGGTCACACCAGTAGCTGCATGTGGAGGAGTGGGGACTCAACCCTGGTTCTCCCAGATTAGAGTCTGCACTCCTAACCACTACACCAAACTGGCTCTGTAGACTCTACTGCCGGGGTGTCGAACTCATTTGTTATGGGGGCCGGATCTGACATAAAGGAGACCCTGGTGGGCCGGGCCATGTGTGTCATAAAAGGTAATGCCAGGTAGTGGAGATATAAACTTCATAAAGGACACAAACACAAAGGCTTTTTTAAAACTTAAAATAAAAACATGCTTAAAACATTAGCACTCTTGCAATATTTTGTTAATTGAACAGTGTCTGATAACTGACACCTCCTGCTCTGAATTACTGCATCAAAATGTCTGTGCTGTTGCAAACTTGGGTATGCTGTTCAGGTGTATATCTGTAAGCTGCAAACCTACGATGACGCAGCAGCAGCAGCAGAACTGGAAGAAGAAGCAGAAGACAGCCAGTTCCACTGTGGGCCTGACAGAAGCCCTCCAGGGGCCTCATCCGGCCCCCATGTTTGACACCACTGCTCTACTGGGTACATTTTTATCCTTCAAGAAGCTCAAGGTGGAATTCAAGCACCATGCTTCTGTCCCCCCCACCCCCGTCAACGTACGGGCTCACTCCAGTCGCCGCTGGCGTCCTCTTACCTGGTGGGAAGTGATCAGCAGAGCGGACCAGACAAAGAGACTCGAGATCACCCGGGCTGCTGAAGTGGTCAAGAAGAGGTCCTGGCCGTCGTGGGAGTGGTTCTGGTCGGCCCTCAGCTGGGAGCCGTCGCCCACCACCAAACGACTGGGGTCCAAAGGGAAGATGCCCAGCCCCATCGTGGTCGGCACCAGGCTGGTGGCCTCTCTCCCCGTCGCAGTGGGGGAGGACTCAAGAGCGTCTGTGGCGTTATTCATCTGATGGAGCAAAGGTGAAGCGGCTCAGGGGGCGGAGTGTCGGAGAAGCAAACAGCAAGAAAATGGAGAGCAGTCTATAAAACAAGGGAGGTGCCTGTGGGTGCCAACCTCCAGGTGGGGGCTGGAAATCCAACTGAACTCCAGACGACAGAGATCAGTTTCCCCGGAGAAAGTGACTGCTTTGGAGGATGGGCTCTCTATGGCATTACCCCCCACTGGGGTCCCTCCCCTCCCAAAAACACGCCTTCCTTCATCTCCGCCCCCCAATCTCCAGGAATTTTCCAGGCCAGAGGTGGCAAGAGATATTCGGGGGGGGGGAGATTGGAGTGATACCCCGCCCTTCACTACCCGAACGAGTCTCAGAGCAGCCTATGATCTTCTTTCCCCTCCCCTCCCCACAACAGACACCCTGTGGGGTAGGTGGGGCTGAGAGAGCTCTTTTGAGAACTGCTCCTGAGAGAACAGCTCTGAGAGAACTTTTGACTGACCCAAGGTCACACCATCAACTGCAAGTGGAGGAGTGGGGAATCAAACCCGGTTCTCCCAGATTAGAGTCTGCTCTCTTAACCACTACAACAAACTGAGAGAGAGAGAATATCGCTTGCAACAACAGTCAAGATACGGGGATCCAGAAACCTGAGATAAATGCACAAAGAAAGACTGAGTCATAAGAACATAAGAAGAGTCCTGCTGGATCAGACCAGTGGTTCATCTAGTAAAATAACCCCACAAACCTGTTCTCAGACCTTAACCAACAAGAACAAACAACTGTGTGACACCAATAAAATTGTACTGGCAATTAATGTACCTCTAGTTATAGAAATATTGTTCACTGTTATAAATAACTAGACATACATTAATGAATTGCCAGTACAATTTTATTGGTGTCATCCATACACATAACTTAAGATATAATAACCTATTTAAACAAAACAAAAAATTATAGGGGGGGGGAATAATTCAATAACCTCTAACAAAGGGAGTGTATAATGACGAACACCATCCCATCTCACACAGCGGCCAACCAGTTACTCTGGAGGTCCAACAACAGGGCATAGAGGTCAAGGCCTTCCCCTAATAAGAACATCAGGAGAGCCTTCTGGATCCAACCAGTGGTTCATCTAGTCCAGCATCTTATCTCACACAGTGGCCAACCAGTTCCTCTGGAGGGCCAACAACAGGGCATAGAGTCAGAAGAGCCCTGCTGGATCAGACCAATAGTCCATCTAGTCCAGCGTCGGGTCTCACCCAGTGGCCAACTAGTTCCTCTGGATGGCCAACAAGGCATAGAGGTCAAGACCTTCCCCTGATGTTGCCTCCTGACTTTGGGATTCAGAGGATTAGTGCCTCTGAATGTGGAGGTTCCCCATAGTCACCATGGCTAGTAACCATTGAGAGACTTATTCTCCATGAAGTTTAACCTACCAATAATCTCAACTTGCCTTTCTTAAAAAAAGAAAAATATAATTTTTGAAAGATCCTATTTATTTAGTCAGTTTCTACCCCACATCCTCTGCTTACAGGGAGCTTGAGGTGGCTTACAACATTTAGAAAGAAGAGAAGAGAAGAGACTGGAGTTATATCCCGCCCTTCACTACCTGAAGGAGTTAGAGCCGCTCCCAATCCCTTTCCCTTCCCCTCCCCCAAACAGACACCCGGTGAGGTAGGTGGGGCTGAGAGAGCTCTGAGAGAACTGTGACTGAGAGAACATCTCTGAGAAAACTTGTGACTGACCCCAGGTCACCCAGCTGGCTGAATGCAGAGAAGTAGGGAATCAAACCCTGTTCTCCCAGATTAGAGTCCGCGCTCTTAAATACTACACTAAACTGGCTGTCACAATAAATACAGGTACAATACAAACACAAAGAAACGCCATGAGTACAGAACAATAAAACCAGTTAAAACATCAGTTTAACAACAAAGCACTTTGAAGGGTTGAATCAGCTGACCGGTTCCCCAGTTTGTAACACGGGCCAGACACCTCATGAAACAAAGCAGCCTGCCCTGCCCTAGGGAGGCTGGAAGATCCCACAAGGCACAAACTTCTCTGGGGAACTGCTTCCAGAGAGAAGGGGTCAGCCACTGAAAATACCCTCAGCCCTGGTGGTTAAAGAGCAGGCAAGTCACAGGCCAGGCACCTGTACACAGCCCTGCGAGAATGGTCTAAGGAGGCGGGGGGGGGGGAGTCCTAGAGACTCAGTTCGGTGTAGTGGTTAGGAGCGCGGCCTCTAATCAGGGAGAACCGGGCTTGATTCCCCATCCCTCCACGTGCAGCCAGCTGGGTGACCTTGGGTCAGTCACAAGTTCTCTCAGAGTTGTTCTCTCACAAGCAGTTCTCAAGAGAGCTCTCTCAGCCCCACCTACCTCACAGGGTGTTTGTTGTGGGGAGGGGAATGGGAAGGAGATGGTAAGCCACTCTGAGACTCCTTCAGGTAGTGAAGGCCGGGGTATAAACCCAATCTCTTCTCTTCTTCTTTTTCTGGTAGTGAAGGGCGGGGTATAAATCCAATCTCCTCCTCCTCCATGTGCAGCTGCTGGGTGACTCTGGGTCAGTCACAAGTTCTCTCAGAGCTGTTCTCTCACGAGCAGTTCTCTCAGAGCTCTCTCAGCCCCGCCTACCTCACAGGGTGTCTGTGGTAGGGAGGGGAAGGGAGAAGAGATTGTAAGCCGCTCTGAGACTCCGAGTGAAGGGCGGGGTATAAATGCAATCTCTTCTTCTTGTCCTTAAGACTGTGAAGATGGTGCTTGAAAGAAGTCGGATTTGCCTAGCAAAGGCAGCCAAAGTGACAGTGGGGAAGGGGTGTGTGCAATGCCACAGAGCCCACCCTCCAAAACATTCACTTTCTCCAGGGGAATGGCTCTCTGTAGTCTGGAGATGACCTGTGGTTCGGAGGGACCCCCCAGGTCCCACCTGGAGGCTGACATCCCAAATACACACAGAGGAAGGCCAAGTATTATCATTTATTATTTATTTATTATTTCGACTTTTACCCCCGCCCTCCCCGCCAAAGCAGGCTCAGGGCGGCTCACATAAAACCACTAAAACAATATATACTCAATACAAAACTATCTAAAACACTGCCTAATACAATTTAAAACCATTATTATCGATGGCGGTTCTCTGAGTAAAGGGCGTTCACGTGCTGCCGACTGTACTACTGCTCTGGAAGCTTCAGCTCTAGGTCGGCCCAGAGGTTATCGGAAGGCCTGCCGGGAAAGCTCCGTTTTCATGGCCCTGCGGAACTGTGAGAAGTCCCGCGGGGCCCTGATCTCACCAGGGATCATGAAGAGTAATTATTATTTTTTTTTGGAAAGAGGAGGGAGAGACAGAACTGAACCAACACTGTGCTTGCTGGCTACCGCCACCAAAACGACATCCTTTTAATCTGCACACCCAATCTTAGAGTTGGGAGGTGCCATACCAGACCACCGAGTCCAACCCCCTGCCCAATGCAGGACCAGCCTAAAGCATCTCTGACAAATATTCGTCCAGCCTCTTCTTGAAAGCTGTCAGTGAAGGGGAGCTCACCGCCCCCCTAGGCAGCTGATTCCATCTTTGAGCCACTCTGACCATGAAAAAGTTTTCCCTAATATCCAGCCGGTACCTTTCTGCATGTACCTTAAACCCGTTGCTTCGGGTCTTCTCCTCTGCTGCCAACTGGAACAGCTCCTTGCCCTCCTCCCAATGACAGCCTTTCAAATATTTAAAGATCATGTCCCCCCTCAGTCTCCTCAGAGAGCCAGTTTGGTGTAGTGGTTAAGTGCACGGACTCTAATCTGGGAGAACCGGGTTTGATTCCCCACTCCTCCACTTGCACCTGGCTGGACGACCTTGGGCAAGCCGTAGTTCTGATAAGAGCTGTTCTTGAAAAAGAGCAGTTTCTGTCAAGAGCTCACAGGGTGTCTGTTGTGGGGAGGGGGAGGGAAAGGAGTTTATAAGCTGCTCTGAGACACCTTTGGGTTGTGAAGGGCGGGGTATAAATCCAATCTCCTCTTCTTTTTCTTCTCTTCTCCAGACTAAACATTCCCAATGCCCTCAGCCTTTTCTTGTAGGGCTCAGTCTCCAGACCGCTGATCATCCTCGTCACTCTCGATTTTGCCCACATCCTTTTTGAACTGAGGCCTCCAGAACTGCCCATAGGACTCCAGGTGTGGCCTGACCAAGGCAGTATACAGAGGGGCTATGACCTCCTGCGATTTCGATGCAATGGCCCTTTTGATACAATAAGATCCCCAGTGGCCAATCAGGAGCCCTACTTATGGAAAGGAGCCCCACCCGGCCCTAACTCACTTTCTAAAAACACTTGCAGTGCTGGGGAAAGTGCCCACGGGCACCAGGTTGGAGACTCCTGGCTTAAAACCCCGCCTCCCCGGAATCCCTAAATTCGACCCCAGAACACAAAAGGAAAAGAGTGCTTCTGAGCTTGTGAGGTGTGTGTTTTCCTGTCTCCAAGGCCCTGCAGTGCAAACACCACAAATTAAAGACACAGGTCAGTGGCTTCCAGACACTTTGGGGATTTCTCTAAGAGCTCCTCTTGCTAACTGTTAGGGAGAAGGGAAAATGCGGAACAATGTGCAATGCTTCCCCCCCCCTCAAAGCTCCCAATCTGTTTTGCCATTAAAAACAGCAACAGAAACGCCCGCCCGACGTATTCCAGACATCTCACTCCCAGCATCAACCTAATAATACCCTTTTATTTTTAGGCTGATCTCTCAACCAAAGGTCTGGCGACGGAGTTTCCATCTTTAGAGGTTCATTCCTGAGTTTTTATCTGTTCTCGGTCATGGAGGCGGCCTCCAAACCGGAGACTTTTTGTGTCCAAGAAAGGCAAATTTTTGCAAAGAGCGGACTTCCTTCTACAGCGGGAAAGAGCAGTCGCTGGTCTGCGAGCCGAAGTAATCCTAGGATCAGTTTCGTTCCGCTCCCTGCCCAGATTTCAATTGAGGCACATAAAGTTTTAATCACCGTCTCCATGTAGATTCCATATTAAAA